ACTATTACAATATATTTAAAAATGTAAAGCTATGCATTGTAACAATATAAAAAACTAGAAAAATACTTACATGTTTTTGTAAAATCTCGGGTGAGAAAAATGCAACTGCTTTGTGTTCTAAATAGGTACGTGTGATGTAGAACCCAAGTGCGCAATTTAACGTATGTAAGTCATGATCTAAAATTGTCAACTTGAACAATGGCATACACCTCTACGGCAGTCAAATCAATGAGTGACGTCATAACCGTCGGGACTATTTTACGTTGCAGTGACGGTTGCACTATTTGAGTTAAGAACATATGCATATCATCATTCTCGATTTTGTATCTTGTGATCATGCTCACTAATTTTAGAAATTGCATTCCACATTATTCACTATTAACAATTAAATTAACTAGAACTTTTTTATAAAGATTATACATTTTTATTTATCGTCCGTTGTGGTATTTTAGAGATGAAAACAACATCGTAGAGTGAAAAAAATGATAAACGCCCAACGAGGAAGTGAATTTATATATTTTTTATTTGGATCCTATTCTGATTGGTTGCTGACGTTTAGACTGAAAACAAAGAAATGAAAGGAGCGTTCGAGAGGGAAAACAACTTTTATTTTTTAGTTATTTAGAAAGTGCTTTGAACTGGAAACGGCAACCGGTTTTATGTCAAGATTTGTCTTGTTGTTACATTAATAAAATTTACTTTAAATATCACCTCAAGGAAAACATATCGTACGAAGCAAAGCATCATATTTGATATAGCACACTCTCCGTCATATAATAATGCGTTTATCACATGAAAACCTATAATCACAACATTTAACACATACAGACTATACAAAATATCGGAATTCTGAGGCTCTTCATTCATATTCACCAAAACTTCATTACAAGTTTTTGCCATAGACATGTTGTGACCCCATGACCATTTTTCAACAGTTCAGGGGCGTAGCCAGGAAAAAAGTAGTGATATACGCGAGGCCGTTGACCGAGCAAAACTATAGGGGTCCGAGGCCTGCTCCCCCAAAGAATTGAGGATTTTAGGCTTATTTGGCGCGTTCTAAATGATTCTAGGATCAAGATATTCAAGAGTTGATCATATAAGGTTCTCATAATACCTCTCTAATTTCTTTATTTTTGTATATTATCTTATGAAATTTTCACAGAATATCTAGCAGGGCATGTTTTATTAATCAAGCAAAACAATTTAGAATTACAGAAACATTAAATAAAAAATGGTTGCCATAGTATCTTGAAATTAAGGCACTCGGAGTAAATAAAAAACTAGCTGGAATATCCCTCTTTAACCATGTTTAAATGCATAATAAGTTGTCAAATTAGCTATCAAACGCATTAAATTGACAAATACTAATTGTCCTTGACTGTTTGGAACTATTATAATGGTCATGTGAATTGTGTGATCTCGCAATGGGTGATTGCTATGCTTCATTAGAAGTGCCTGTTAGACCGTTCGACTGTTTTGACAAATATCGCGGGGAAAATTGATTTTGCTGCTTTAGTTCAATTTTAATATGTTCAGACCATTATTTTGTTGACATCGCAGCAATATATTTGCTTCAGCCATTTCTGATCATAAATACCCTTTGCATTCGTTCGACTTCGTTTCTCAAAAAACAAACTTTTGTCTTCAGGTAGTTTATAACTAGACTCCACGCGCAGGGTAGATCATTAGCTTTGAGTCTCAGACTCTGGTATCACATCTATGGAAGCATGGACGCATCTACTATGACATCCTAAAATTCACATGATATTTTTGTAACAATAAAAAAACGTATTATTTCTCTGCAGTGATAACCAGTATATGATTGGTCAGTCATGTATCATGTGACTAGAAATACAACAAGGTATTCCATCTATGTATAAGTCATCGATATGAAAGGTGTATTTTTTGAAAAATAAATACAGGTATTTAACGAATGTGACGTCACATGTATAGACTACTGTGAACATATGGCATTTTTTATCCATTTTTCGATTTTTGAGACACTATGTAGTTAATAAATAGTTATTGTGAAACTGTTAATATGTATGAAATAATAAAACAAATACTGATACGCCTAACCATCGACACGGTACAGTGACAAAATATACCGTAGTACACTTTATATGTACGATGTCACTATTTAACTGATTGGTTTTTCGCATTTTCTTTGATCATTTTCTCCTGTTGCCTAAGAGTGTAGATTATTTTTATGAGAATATGTTTCTCTATACTACACAATTTAGGACGGGTGGAGATTAATAAATATTCAAATAGTTATTGAAATTAAAAAAATCAGAAATGTGTGTTGTCAACTCGAATGTACGTTGTCCCTGTAATTGAAATTCATGAGATATACGTCAATATTAAACAATGTAATGATTTCATTTCAAAATTCATTAAGGTTTTTATGAGTAACAAGTGATCTTTAACGAACATTTTCAAGTATCCTTTTTGCTTTTCATTTTATGAAAGTATTGTTGTGGTGCTGGTTAATTTGTGCCCATTTGGTGTTAGCTTTCAGCCCAAACTCCCATCCAGTGTCTCGGAATAGAATAGGTTGAAGACTGACACTGCCACGGAGTATGCTTCCAGCCTGTTTGATTATTTGGCGTTTTGTTAGTTACATTGATACTAGATAGATCTACTGATCTATACTAGCTTTTATTGAATATGACTTTTTAAAATCCCGTTTATGATATATCTGGAAAGTTTCAATAGTTCAATCAAATTGAAGTAATTCTGTAATTGTTCTGTTTCAATTTTAAATGCATCTGACCCCCTGTCTGTAAGTGTAACTGTAAGTGTTACTGTGAATCGAGTAAGTTCAATGGGACAACGTACATTCGAGTTGACAACATACACTTATGTTTTTTACAGCCAAAATGTTAATACTTATTAAATCTTCAACAGACATTAATTGTGCTGTTTTAAGAAACATATTCTCATAAGAATCTTCAACATTCTTAGACGACAGTTGAGAAAATGATCAAATGAAATGTGTAAAAACGCAACATTTTCCAACCGACCAATTATATAGGTAGATTGACTCCGAAAAAAACCGAGCACTGTTCGAAAATCTTTTAACGTTATTAGAAAGTTAAAAGTCTTCCTGAACGAATACACAAAACATCAAACATGAAATCCTTAATGCATTCCTCAGATTATTTTTTTAAAACCTACATCAAACCTACTTATTGAACGACCTGGTACATCATTGTCTTTGCTTCAAATCGGTTAAATAGTGACATCGTACATCAAAAGTGTACTACGGTATATTTTGTCACTGTACCTTGTCGATGGTTAGGCGTGACTGAATTCTGTTTTCATGCAATACCTCTATATGTTTCTGGGGGATGTATTCCACTTGCCATTCGGTCTGCGTGGAATAAAATATAAATACAGGTATTGCACTCAACATCATTCAATGTTTGTATAATATTCAATTTAACATTTTCATGTATTTGGTAATCTATGAGAGTTTATTATGTATGTTAACATAGTAAATTAGAGGCTTTCTCTCAATTTCTTTTATTTGCCCCGGGGGACTTGATTTCCCGTTACCTATGACAATCATTTCTTATTTAATAATTCTGTGAAACTAAATAGTATTTGACAATTTAATGTGTTTGATAGCTTATTTGACAACGTATTGTGTATTTAAACACGGTATTCTGGGGCTATCTTAATAGGTAGTTCTGAGCAATTCTAGGATCAAAACATAATTTATTTCAACACGTTTGGTCTTGACTCTCAATATTAGCGGTTGTGTATATGTAGCTAAGCCTATGCAGTAGTCCTTTTGGATTGTCTTATATTTGCAGTAGGACTGTAATATCATCTTCATTTACTGTTTTGAACATGTTAAAACGAGACAGATTTTGTTTGTTTTCCCAACGGCTGCCTAAAATATACCTTTAATATGTCGTCATTTAATTAAAATCTAGCACATTTACTTTTATTTATGAACCAAACCACATTTTCAAAGTTACATCATACATGTCATAGGAACTGTCTTGATAATGAAATTAATAATGTTACAACGGTATCAGTTTGGAATAAATTAAATACATTTTACCATTTACCCAGTCAAAATTCCAGACTGAAAGCATATTTTGAATCAGACGCTTTGTTCTTCATGTTTTTCAAGAATCGGGGTGAAGATATCATAGAAAGAACAAAGCGTACCGAACTTTGTTCGATTGGATAAAAGGGAGATCATATCAACAGAGACTATAAAACATGCCACATGTCACACAGACAGACAAACAGACAGACGCACTGACAGGCAGATACGATGGTGATTGCAATGGTCGCCATGTGAGCTCACATTCATACAGAGGCCACTTAGATGGAAACAATAAAGAACATTGCCAATTGTGAACAGATATAGAACAATTTTCAAACAATGAATTCAAACTTTAAAAAAAACTTATGTATCCTTTCCTATGTTCTTTGATGATGTAAAGAGCTATAGACTCTTATATAATGTACAATATAATATGTGTAACAATTTTGGTTTACTTAAAATGTTTCAAATTGTTGTTGATTGCCATTTCAGTTTGTGATCCCTTGTTACAGAAGTGTTTAAATGACAGTTTCCATGTGTTTTTATGATAGCACCACATCCCCAAAGGCGAAATGAATTGTGCATGTTTTTTAATTGGTTTATTCCACTTCATATTGACATCACTGTGCATATATAGTACTGTATTGTGTTACCTCATTATAAACACAGCAATATTTAACATGTTTGTTTTCCCGTCAACTGATCATTTTTTTGATTTGGATTTTCAAATCAACTACTAAAACAAAGTTTGGAATCAGAAATTTTGGTTTATTTCTGTCAGTACAACATTTTCATTTGAAGTTATATGATTACATTTAGGAAGCTAATTCATATGCCCACCTTTACAAAGTGATTTGCTATGACTCATTCAATATACAGTTGACGGTATTATCATACAAAATGTCACCACCTGCCATCTGTTATACTTGTAGAACATCGAACACCTGACGCCGACCACCGTTCACAAAAAGGTTTGGAGAATATAACAACATGTCACCATTTCTGGTTGTGACATACAATTAGTATCCAAGATCGTTAATGTGCATACAACCGCTCCAGAGAAGAATACAGACTTTAGATGTTTACAATAGCAATAGAATCCAATGAATGTTCCATTTAATCAAGCATGCTGCCATGTATGGGATATGTAACGACAATGAATTTTATACAATCATGCAAGTATCCGCTTATGACAAATCAAAGGAGATAAAAAAACTGTAGGTGAGATTCAGGATTTTCCACACTGGAATACATTTTAAGTAGATATATTTAGATGATAGTTTCACCTAAGATTATTAAAATATCTATCAGCAACAATAAGGCAATATTTTATTCTCCATTCTAGTATAATGTTCCGAATAGTTAAATTCATATTATTAATAACACAAGATCATTCATGTCACTTGTCTTTATTTAAATGAGCAGAACGACCAAAGGGACGATAAGGAGGATCAGGTAATATGGTCGCACACCGTCGATGCCGTTACAATGATCCGATTTACAAAAGCATGTCTCATAGCTGTATTCACCAAGTGTAGTAACCTTACATCCTTCATTATGGTTGGCCATGTAGCATTTACGCTCGATTATACTTTCACCACTCACTGAAATGAACACAGGAACACAGCATGCATTATTTACGTGGATATCACAATAGAATATGTTTCCAGTATCAAGAATATTCCAAAATACAACTACCTGCTCATGTTGTTGTCATTTGGTCAGAACTGATACTCATTGCTGTTATTGCAAACAATTTAAGAAGATAGGTATATCTTATAGATCAATTCATCATCTCAAAGAAAATTGTATACAATAAAAATAGAACCAATCAGACTCAGAGATATTTCGAGATATCATCCTCACATATTTTTCATGAAATGTCATACTGTAACAACCCTGGGTTGTTACTTTTTATATTTCATGCCCAGTTTATTATTTCATAGATCTGTTAATGTAATTATTGGTATTTCAATTTATTGTAAGATTTAAAGGTCATTTAAACTTTTTATAACTTTTGAATTTGGTGCCAAAAACTTCAGCCTAGTTTAGATTAGCCAATCAGAGCACGTCTTATAAAAGTGTTAGGAGGCGCACATGGAGAATTTAGGAGATTGTCATTTTTATATTGTGCGGATTTTAATCGTCTTAAATGTAGGACTTAAGGTCCTAAGATAGGATAGGATATGATTCTGTTAACAGTAAATGGCCTAGGATAAGATAGATCAAGTTAAATAGGGTAAGGAAGTTAGTATTGAACAGAGATAGACGGCTAAGTCAAGTGACCTAATTTCGCAAACTTTGAGATTCTACATCATTTCTTTTAGTTGCTATCGTTGATTCCAATCAGATATGTTCAGAATTATGTCGCCTTTTGTTCTGTGAATATTACCAGCTTAGGGTAGCATACTAATTTTGCAAGGTTTTAGTTGAAGATAGATATTCATAGCCATGTGTGTACTTTTATCAGTTTGAATATTTGCCAAAAGGTGGCACTAGTGTTGTTGAGCATCTACATGAAGTAGTTGTATGCATTATATAAGGTCAGATTGGTAATAAGATTGAAAACTGTTTTGTTAGGTATTTACAGTATCTTGTTTGATATACCATCTGACAGACCTTAGTTTCATTGTAAAAACTCATTGTACATATTTCATACTTATAGTTGATTACGTAATATATATATTTTAATTCAAATCATATTTTATGTTATTATTGAGATCAGTGAGACCGTTAGTTGTCAGTAGAGCAGATTAAAATTCATAACAACCAACACACTCCCTAGTCAAGGCCATCTATACGCTACCACAGAAACTTCAAGTATATTTGTAACATCTCTTATTTTATGTAACGTCAGGCTAGGCGAGTGTGACCCCCGGTTGTTACAATACCAATGTTAAGATGCAACGAACAAATGTAAGGGCAAATCCTAACATGATACACTTGTATGTAAAATATTGATATAAAATTCCACCCGGAAGTTGAAATAAAACGTCGAGTATTTTCCACAATTACTCTGTTTTTTTACTTACAGTTATATACCAATGTTTTACAAATGGTTTTGGCTTATTTTCGGATAATTAGGACAGTTTTGAACTACTGTGGAAGTATTCTTTATCCCACAAAACAAAGTTCATGGAGGATATAGGATCGCTGTCCGTCCGTTCGCCCGTCCGTCCATGCGTCCGAGTCATAACTGCTCAAGAAGGAATCTCCAATATGGCCACTTCAATTCAAAATTGCTGCCATTTTTTGTAAAAATGTAATATTTGATAATTCAAGTATTAGATGACCAATTTGGTTCAACTCATATACCAGTGGACGGGATGGTTTAAATTGTATATATTGATGCCCAGGAGGGGATACCCCAGAGTTTCAAAATGACATACCGTTATACTGTAAACCTGTTTTGAGATGACATACATAATCTCTGATTGGTCAAAATTCAACGAACAAATGACGCCATCAATATCGGCTTCAAAATGTTCGAAATACGCTTTGAATAAAATTATGTTAATTTCTGTGTGTTATCCATCATGGCTTCTTATTTCACATCAAGATCAAGATAAGAAAGGTGCATGGAATATGCCTACATCAATTATAAAATCACATCGAAGTGTTGTATTTGGAAACTAGCTGGTGAAATTGAAACAAAAGACGTGACCGCGACCGTAACTAAGATTCTACCAAGATCTAATTCTTCAATCATTCTGATATTTTCCCGAGTCAAGTTTTATTAACGTGTACCTATGGCAGTGATTCTACCGATGTGGGCTGAGAAAACGTTTTCTCATCGGTGCCTTTATTGTGTTCAATTATTTCCACTTCACTGAGAAACGTTTTAGTAGGGTTAAATGTCAGTTGAGTTCCAAGAGGCCATTAATTTGTAAATCGTGTGGATTCGTTAATTAAAGATACACATACGAATTAAAAATGGATAAGAGCTATTCACATACTGAAATAACAACACGAAAAAATTCTGCCGGGAAAACCTTGGATTTCTTCTTCAGCCTTGAAACCTCCAAATTTACCGGAAGTTTTCATCTTTGGAAGTAAGCAATTTAAGGCTTCGATAATTCAAGGATCTCGAGTCTTTAATTTAATTCAATTTTACCAAAGTAACTTTACCAGTTAATTTCTCCTTCACGCACGTTATGTCGGTCCCCTGACATGTCCCTATGTTGCTAAAGTCAGAATTGTCATCAGAACAATCATCATTGTCAGAGCTCCTGCATTTGTAGCACCTTAAAACTATTAAGTATATCCTGTTAGAAATAGCTTAAATATCGCAAAATAGTACAATGATAATATATTTTTATATTTATTTTCATGTATCATTAACATTTATTTAGAGGTTGCCAATGTGTAATAAGAAGCCTGGTTAAGTTTACCTTTTTTGTTCTGTGTTATCGGCACTGTCGATATCCTTGTAGTTCGACGTCCTGTGTCTGAAACAAGTAAATCTTACAATAATTCAAGAAAAATTATTACACATACACTTTTCATTATGTTTAAAGATGAAATAAGACCGATTTACTCGATTTAGATTATGTATGTATGCGAGGGTTATGTTATGGGAGGTTTTGGACACAGGGTATGTCTTAAGGGAAATACAGATATCATATTTCAAGGTTTTCAGACAAATCAGAGCCAGGACAACTCGGACCCAAGACATCTCAGACCCAAGACAACTAAGACCAATTTTTGAAATGATGATTTTTATCTGTAGACTATATTAGCTATTCATGTTCGGTGAAGCGGAACGCAGTGTAGCGACTTCAGAACATAAATGATTTCTATTGGCTGAACGGTTTGGCGGTTATTTGTGTTTGGAGTGAGTGAGTAAGTGTTAGGAACACGTCATTCTGAGGCTTGCCAGCGTGCGAGAAATACACTTAACTCCTAATTTGTAGATTATATTATTTCTGTATGTTTCATAAATTTTGTCAGTATTGATCGTACAAATTGATATTTTGATTGGCATACCTTTTTATCTCTGCAAAGACCTTTTTTGAATTTCGGCCTCAATATTTTGAGTCTTTGCTTAGTTTAAGACTCCTCATAAATCCTAATTACTTGGATGAGGTTTTAATGGTGTCAATCGAATTGTCATACATGTGCAGTTATACTGTTTTGTATTTTCCAGTGACATTCACTAACTCACTCACTGTATGCGTATACATTGTCATGTTCTCATTATTTATGTAACTGTTGTACTATGTTCATTAATAAACACGCAGGCCAAACGCTCTCTTTAAGTGCCAAGCGCTCTCATTTCTTGAAACTGAAGAAATGTGTGTTGTGTCTTCTGATAGAGAGTGATGAGTATAGAATTGGTTATAATTAATTTTATTTATTTTGTCATATTGTGAATTCATATCTTGTGTTAATTTGATCTAATTGTTTTAAATCAACTTATTTGATGAGCGTTAAGAAGTAAGATATTATTGAAACTAAAGACCCAAGACAGCTTGGACCACTTTTTGAAATGATGGTTTTTATCATCGCATGGGGTTTTAATTTTTTGTTTTATGCTTTTATGACACATAATATAATGAATTCATATATTGTGTTAATTCGATGAAAGTTTTAAATTAAGTTAGTAACGATAGTTTCAAAGTTGTCCGAGTCTTCAGCTTCAATATTCTCTTACTGGTCTAACTTCTTAACTTTCATCAAATACGTTAATTGAAACGTCACAAATTGAAACATCTTCATTAAATATATACAATATATGAACTCACAATATATGTAATATGTCCTATGCTAAACATTAAACAAATAATCCCCTATTATGACAATCAAAAGTATTATTTCAGAAAGTGGTCCGAGTTGTCTTGGGTTTTTAGCTTCAATATTTTCTCTTAATTTTCATCAAATAAGTCAAATCAAAACATTTTCATCTTTGTACAAAATATGAAGTCACACTATACTAATAAATAATGATAAACATAACATTTAAAAAATCAAAACCCCACATCATGATAAAAATCATGATTTTAAAAAGTGGTCCGAGTTGTCTTGGGTCCGAGATGTCTTGGGTCCGTGTTGTCCAGGGTCCGGGTTGTCCTGGGTCCGAGTTGTCTTGAAAACCTTGAAATATGATATCTATATTTCCCTCGAAATATACCCCGTGTCCAAAATCTCCCAAGAGGGATATAACCTGTAAGAAATATGTGAAGCATTTCTAAAACAACGCAAAAATGCGAGAAATTTTAAAAATATAACTATGGAAAACTATTTTTGAATTAAACTTTCTATCAACATTTTGTTTTATTCAGTATTGTATCATTATGATGTATATTCTCAATTATGATGTCACTGATACACATCTGAACTACGTTGCAGAGTTTAATCATTGATTTTAAAAAACGAGTTATAATAAAAATTGATTATGACACGAACAAAATAGTTTACATATTATGGACGCTTTGAAGTTTACTTTGTAAAACTTTATTGGAACGTTTAAGAACTGAAAAAGTTATCAGGAAACAAGAGAGGCATCACTTGTTCTGTCCCAGCCAATAGTAATGTTTACATCGATAAAAATTCTTATTTTTTTGAAAATGATACAAATGAAACCGTTTTACCAGGTGTTGTCACTTGTGGCTGCACGGTGTCCCCGCCGTTGCAATAATCTGTATTACAATAGCATCCCCTGGCCTTAACACTTTCAACCGTCATATCCATACATGTTGTGTCAATTTTGTCCCTATAGCACGTACGTTTGATAATTGTTCGACCTCTAACTGAAATACACGAGAATACCACGAGTATATCATGAGTAACATTACAGTATACCATACTGTATCATTTAATTTCTTTACTTTCAAAAAATGGTTTCTTGGTGATACCCAAATATTAACTTATACCACTAGAAGTTTTAGTGAGACCTAACAATCACACTACCCTACCACGTGACCACGTTTAAAAGGGAAACAGGCTCAGTTAAGTTGCAAATGGAGGACTTGAGTTTATTCCTATATTTCTGAACGTAAAATATAATTATTTTTCATTTATTTCTAGTGTTCTACCAGACATTAAATAGATTCATCAAGCAGTTTGTATAATATTGTTCAGTTGGCAAAAAAACATATAGTCAAAGATAGAGAATAGTGGGCGCAGTGAGGTAAAATTGAAAGCAATACAAGATACATTTTAGTAAATCTATTACAGTACAGGGAGCGTGTATGTTACTTCTTTTGACATTGATATGTAACAAAAAAACAGTTAACTGTTATATATACTGCGTGTCATTGTGTTATATGTAGATACGTTTTCTATTATGTTATTCGACTGTATTTTTGTGAATAAATTGTTTTTCTAAAATCTTTAGATAAATTAAAAATCCCAGAAATGTATCTTTACTTTGCCGTAAGGCAAAACATATTCTAAAACATTTTCCTCTTGTCACAATTTGACAGGGTGGTAAAAAAACGGCAACCCTGTTTTTTCCCCATATCTTTGTCATTTTAGAAAAATTTTCCCTGATATTTGGCACACGTATATCATTCGATTCCGTACTATATTATTTTATTTCATGAACATCGGACTTATAGTTTCATTATTACAGCACTTTTAACAAGGTACCCAAGCTGGCCAACATTGTGCTGTAGGGAAACCTGCACACATTTTCCAGAGTAGTCAATGATCTCACTGCATTCCTCAGCACGTATGGCCTGAATGACACATGTGATCTCACTTTTCAGGTTTAATGTTGATCTGATGTTATTCTCCTACACTCTATATTTGGGGTATCCCCACTGGTAAAAGTTAAACCGGGTCATATCCGGGCTATGGGGTGCCCATTCATTATTTGTTTCCTGCTGATAATGTGGTTATAGAAGTGGTCCCAAAGCCATTCTAGTGCACCATTGGCTGTATAGGACATGGCTCTGTTGTGTTGGAACAACTACGCTACCTATCAATTCCCCTGAGTTTTACCATAGCCCCCAAGAATTTCCTTAATAAAATTACAATATAGTGTTCGATGTTGACAGTTATTGCATTTTTGTTGGCATTTTCAAAGGTAAATGTCCCTATCCCCATGTGCCGAGTATGCCCTAAACTGTGCACCTGTCTTTGTGAAGGTGCCTCTCCACTACTTAACCAAGTGCTTGGCTACCCAAGAAAACAAACTTGTTGAAGTTTACCAGAGTATCACGTTTGAAATGGAGTTCATCCGAATACCAGACCAGTTCAGACAGCCCGAAAGTGGCCATCTGGCGCATGTTGTTTAAAATGTTGTAATATTGTGACGATCAGTCCGATGGTCATTAAATATAGTAGCTGGTAGGAAATTGAATAAAGTACAAATGTGTGAAATATTACGGAGTACTTTCCTTAAACGACAAAGATATGAGGAATAATTAGGGTTGCCGTTTTTTACCATATATTTTGACCGTATTATCATTATCTTTATTATTATCCAAAAACATGTAAGACTAATCGATCTGGTAATAGTTTTCAGAGCTAGACGTATGGGTTAAGCATAGTTATAATATTATGAATCCACTTTCTACAAATAACAGGATCTTAAGAGGTTCTGGACAAATCATTTGATTCTGGACTTGTCATATTTTTTTTTCAACGAAATCACATCCAAGGGTTGAATTTTTATTAGCTATTTAGAGAGTGAGTCCTGCCTAGTATTAATTTCAATAAAAAAGTTAAAATAGAACCCTATTTGAGAGTCAATCTAATACTTACATTACATTGATAAATTAAGGCAAATCCTGAAATATTTTTAAAGTGCGTTTTTTAATGAAATATTATCTAGCAAGTATTTAAATGAAACGGTCTTATTTAAATACAAATCATAACATGATATTTTTCATGAAACATTTTTCAATAAAATTCAATTGAAGGGTCAAGATAAAACGAGCTAATTTAGCTGAAAACCCTTACATGATGATGTGTTTTCATAACTTCTTTCATAAAATTCCATCAAGGGGTGAAAATAAAATGATCGAATTTAAGTGATTTTGATTTATTACCCCCTGTTCGAGTCAGTTTTGACACATTCATATACCACTTATTTTTAATATATTTTGTAATAAACTTAAAATCTTAAAAAAGTGACTTCAATAATCCTTTTATTGATGTATTTTATAACAAATTCTGAAAATGAAGAAAAGAATAGTATTTTCTATCCAATCTATTTGAAGAACCTATTTTGAAATAAAACAATAGTAATCTAAATATATATGTAAGATGTATAGGTGAGCATCAATTTATTCCCTGCAATCTCAATTATAACATAACATCTCCCAGAAAGAGGTTTTCTAGGTGACGTTTTTTTAAGATTCAAAGTGCAGTAGTCCAAAACAGCCTTTGAATACTTCAAGTGTATATTCTGATAAACATTGTGTAGATTCATGTGTATTGAATTAAACTAAGTCTGTTTCAATGTTCCTGAACCCGAGGTTCATTCATGCCTTTCTTTTCAAAGGGGAAATCAAAAATCTAACGGTTTGGTGGAGACACAAAAACATCAATGCTTGCAGATTGAGTTCGAAGTGGAGTCGGAGTTGCAGACCGAGTTTCAATTCGAGTGGGCGTTGCAGATGGAGCTTAAACTCCAGTGGGCGTTGCAGATTGAGTTCCAACTAGAGTTGGTGTTGCAGAGTAAGTTCCAGCTAGAGTTGGCGTTGAAGATGGAGTTTCAACTACAGTCGGCGTTGCAGATGGAGTTCGAACTGAAGTTGACGTTTCAGATTGAGTTCTAACTAGAGTCGGAGTTGCAGATTGAGTTCCAACTAGAGTGGGCGTTGTAGATGGAGTTCCAACTAACGTTGACGTCGCAGATGGAGTTCCAACTAGAGTCGGCGTTGCAGCTTGAGTTCCAACAAGAGCTGTGGGCGTTGTAGATAGAGTTTCAACCAAAGTGGGCGTTACATATGGATTTTCAACTAGAGTGAGCGTTACAGATGCAGTTCCAACTAGATTTGGTGTTGCAGACGCAGTTCCATGTGGATAGGGCGTTGCAGATGGATTTCCAGCTAGAGTTGACGTTGCAAATGGAGTGGATATTGCAGATGCAGTTCTAACTAAAGTGGGCATTGAAGATGGAGTTCCAACTGAAGTTGGCGTTGCGGATGAAGTTCCAACTGGAGTGGGTGTTGCAGATGGATTTCCAACTGGAGTTAAAAATAACAGATAGTTGAAAGAGTCAGGAAGTGAAGCATGCAGTTGTGATATCATGTCGATGACTTTTAAGGTACTTGTACTTGCAATCTTAAATAATCAAGAAAAAGTTTCAGTGTATTTTGATGAGCAAGAAATAAGCTAAATGCATGACAAAAGTCCCCAAATTCATTCTACATCAAGTAATGTACATAAAACCTTAGTGGGTTTGATACACAATTTCACCGACAACAATATATTATTTAACATTATGTGATCATCCATGGTTATTAAATATGATATAAAATAAACCTTACCTGACATCAATACACTTCCTATACACAGTAATAGAAGAGCAATGTTCATCATCTGTTACTATTTTGCAATGGTTGTATTTTCCACAATACAGCAGTGTATATTATCTACAGGCTGCAATTGATTTCGACTTAGACACACACACATACAGAGTGGTTCAAAAATATTATATCGTACCTTCAATATAACTATAACATGCATAATGTTTACAAAGACTAATAACAGAAAAATGATCAAGACATTTCAAGTATTTAATAATGTAATTTTTTTCCAATAATGCTAGCCTATAATGCCACTGGCGCTTGGCAGCAGTATCATACTTGTATATTCTTCAGTAATGTCATAAATAAATGAATAAATAAAAAAAGGAAAAAACTAAATTATTTTTACTTTTTTAAAATTGAATTGAACTATTGAATCGCCCAGTGTACAGAGATTGAAAAATCATGCCTTTCAGTTTTGGAGATACAAATCATTTCAATCTTATATTCCTCTAAAACCCTACATTGGATATCAAAAAGTGTTATAGCTTTCTTTAAAGATACGTCGATGACATCTATTTTTGCCACACTATCAACAATTACTTAATATTTCATGAGCATTTTATATTAAAACTTTATACACTTCATCGCAACAGTATTTTTATATCAATACCCTCTCTGTACAAAGTCACGCCCGGTGTGAAAGAAATTATGGTCCCCCAGGGATTATGGTCCCCTTTCTTAACGGCCCTTACTGGCCCTTATAGCGTATAAGATAATAAGGGAAAGAGGTCACCATATAAATCAATGAAGAGTAGGCCCATATGTTGATATGACCTCCTTCCCTTTAACACCTGTGATCGGAGAACGGGAAAGAAAAGACGCGGTAATTTCTGCTAGAAAATATGAATGAATATATGACCACCAGTTTTGGAAAAAATCAAATTTTTGCTCAGATTATTTGGATCAAAACGCAAGTTGTAGACATATATGCTCCTTGATCAGCTGACCTTATACCAATATATTGCCGGTGCAAAAGGGTAGCGGGTCCTATCAAATTTTGGTCCTACTCTATATTGGTTTATATGGTAACCTAATTACAATCATTTTCCTTATTATTTATACACAGGCAGAGCCAGTAAGGGCCGTTAAGAAAGGGGACCATAATCCCTGGGGGCCATAATTTCTTTCACACCTGTAACTCATTATTAAAGATGACAGTAATCAACCGGATTATCAATTGTTTTCCCGTCAACCCGGCTTACTCGTTATCCTAAAACAGGTTGTTTCATCACCAGCCCAGCTGACCAGATGGTACTTTTGATATCCGGCATAGATGCTTCAACATCTAGAATTATTAAACTGACAGGTCTGCCATTATCAGCTCATCTGCAATTTTTTAAGATAAATGTAATATATATTTTACATCCAATATCTGTCTCATAGTTATCTCGTAGAAAACAAAAAAGAAACCTGTCGGGAAACAATTATATTTTCCAGACAGGTATAAAGGGTCGTTCAAAAGGTTCTGCACTAATATCTCTAACTAAGAGAATAATTATCAATTTTGTTCATATTTGATGTTATGCGTTTATAAGTTATTAATATTTTATGGTTGCTATGGTTACCCGGATATATTTATCACTAAATTGTTATGGTAACCAAGTTGTCAGATGTGGGGTATTCGGGGTAATGCTTTTCCAGTGTAAGGGAAGAGGGGATTCATAAGGGTTAAAATGTATAGTTATGTGAAGGCTGACATTTATCAATAGAAACCAGGTACAGATATCCTTGTTTTTCCAAATATATTAGTTTATATTTACGAGCGAAATGTCTGATTTTGATTTTACAATAGAAACATGCTGACCTTGCCATTTATCTTTATAGAATTTTAATCAAAGTAATACTAGTATGCCTTCGTAAAAGTCCACTTAGTGTTCGTTAATGTTGTCATATTCTCTTAGTTGTGTTTTTATGTTCGCTATTCATTGGTTCAAAGGATCGGGTGACTCGAGAGTTGTTTATATTCGTTAACTTACAGTTACGTTTTTAACATAACAAATATTTCTTTTCCATTTAAGATAGTTAGCAAATAATAAATTGTTAGCTACAATATATTTATAGTCCTTGCAAACATAAAATATGCGCTATTTTGGGATCAATTTGCCCATTGGCTAGATGATATAAAGCATTGTAATTCAGGCTTTTTTATCTGGAAATGCTAGATAATATATAATCCTACAAAACGAAAGCAGTTATGACGCTATAGCAAGAAGTATATTGTTTATGGCGTTTACATCTTATATAGGAAGGAAGGTTGAAACTACAGGGTGGTCCAAAAAAATTGGAACATTTGTTAATTGAACACAAAACCTTTATTTTTCCTCTAAAATGCACCAAAGTTTCACTGAGCATAGTTCAGTCACTTATCTCTCTGATCTAAAGTTTATAGGTGCAAACCATAAATTTAATGCATTAAACTAGTCAATGTTTGATATGACCCCCTTTTCTTAAATATACACTTGTCAATTTTGCAGCTACTTTTTCAAGTATTCTTTATTTCAGAGCTTTAATGAACATGTTGATTGCTATATACATTTTATAAAATCATTATAGTTGAAATGAGGTATTAACATATATGGTTTACTGGAAACTATTGTGTTATTGTCAACTTAAGAATATCCCAAATCATTATTTTTATTTAAGAGTAGGCAAGAAAGAACATGTCAGAGGTGAGTGATTGCATAACCCATACGGCTACCACACTGATAAAATCATTGTTTCCACTTTTCAGTAGAGGGGAAACTGACTAGTTATTTACAAGGCTTTATTAAAGACCACCTCTAAGCACACATAATATAATATATCATTTGTGTTCTGGGAAACTCCTTTATGATATTGATATACATATATTGATATATTCAATGAATATTATTCATATTAGAACAAAAAAGGGGAGGGGGTTCATTTACCAGTCAAAACAGACTGCCCTGGCCTCTTTCTGGAGAATATTCAATCAGTAATATATCCAACAATAGCCACCAAAATATGCTTTATACCCATCAATTTGGGTAAAAAAATGTTGAATATGTTCATATATTTGATCTTCCAAGGCTAACATATAAGTAGTTTGTTCAAGCTGAATTTTTAATCAAGATGGCTTGGACAAAATCAAACGAACAGCAAAGTGAATGAATCATTTCAAAACTGAGTCCCAGGCTTCAACTTGTAATTTAGGAGAAGAGGGGTCATATCAAACATTCTCTAGTTTAATGCATTAACTTTGTTGTTTGCACCTTTAAACTTTAAATCAGATAAATAAGTGATTGAACAATACTCAGTAAAATTTGGGTGCATTTTGGAGAAAAAATAATGATTTTGAGTTCAATTATCAAATGTTCCAATTTTTTTTGGACCACCCTGTATATCTCTTTTTGGGCAATGTTTGTGCAAAAGACTTTGAACGACCCTTTTATAATGTATAACATATAAAATTAATCTACAGCTTCCGGTGGTTATTGCGCGCCTGTGATAACAACATGACAATGGGAGTTCAAAATTGATGCCTATATTATTGATATAAGAAAATCAGTCAGCCATATAGGCATATTTATTAATTCGTTTAATACACGTGTAGTATGCTATACCCTTTTGAAGATGTTCTTGCATTCTACCTGAATATCTATCTCTTGATATGAACCATATTTTGTAGAAAGTGTATTTTAATAAAAAAAAAAAAACTAATGCCAGCTGTTATGCTAACCCATTTATAGTTGTCGGAAAGAATAATTTTAAAGTGTTTATACTGGGTGGGCCAAATATATGTCTATATTCTTAGTTTGACGATAACTTTTTCAATGATTCATATACTTCTGATTTACCAGAAACTATTAATTAGCAAAAGATCCTGGAATATGAGAAGCAATAATGTTACACTTATCTGATAATAATCATACCTTAAATAATAGTACTAGATCGTCATCTTATACACATTTTGCAATCAAACACCACTGCCTGTTAACAATATATTCATACATATACCGATTTAAATATAGTGATACTATTTTGGGACGGGTTGTGTTATTGATTTTAGAAAAATTAAAGCAAAATAAAATACATAGTGTATGGATAGAAAAATACCTTTACGATAAAGCGTATAAAGTTTGACTTTAAAATGTTCGTGGCATATTGTATAATTGTTTATAGTGCGGCAAACAACTGTTGTCACCATCGTATTTTTACGTAAAGCTGTATAATATTTTGATCCCCAATGTTCGGTTACAATAGAATGTAAGATTAAAGGATTACTGAATCTCTGTACAGTGTACACTGGACAGTTTGATAATTAAATTTGATTTTGAAATTTTTGTTGTTTGCTATGGGTACAGGTACTATTCGAAAAAATATGCATGTACATTTTTTATATTGATGGTTAAATACTGACAAAACCGTAAAATATTTTTGGACCACTCTGTATATGTGTGATTAGTTAAAAAAACCAATTGAATTGGATACTCTCTGTAGCTTATATAAACTGCTGATATTGTGGAGAATAGTACAACTTGAAAAATCGTCAAAGAAGATGAGTATTGCTTTCCTTTTGCTGTGTATAGGAAGTGTATTGGTGTCAGGTAAGGTTAATTTTTTATTCTTCTGTATCATATTTAGTAAACTTATAAATTGAAGTAGATAAGACATGTTTATCAGACCTACTGAGGTTCTGGGTACATGGTTTAAGGAATGTATAGTGTCTCTATATCGCTATTACCGAGGTTCGTAAAATATAGCTGTACCAATACACTCTACTATACCTAACCCCTAGAAATGCATAAGATACTCTGTTTGTCTAATTGTATTGTTTAGTATATTTTTGCAAGTACCTTATTAACATCTAACAGTCTTCCGATAAACCATTCATAAGGAGAAGACAAATAAAAACAAATAACATAATCATTACTATTAAGCCAAATGGGTTGCTTATGAACACTAAATGCAAGGTATAGTAGAGTGAATATCCCACTTATAGATCCAAAGAAACTTAATGTTAGTAATGTCTATTTAACAGGATGTAAATACTGGTTACAGTCTTACGGTAATTTTCATGCATCCTGATATGTATACTGTTTTTATGAATATAAAAAAGGGTGAAGTTTCAGTTGAAAATCAGTTGAAAATGTCATACAATAGGATGATATTCAAAAAATATTTCAACTGGTCCGAACATTGAATTCTTCTGCCATATCTTATTATTCGAAATAAATATATAAATAGAAATAACAAAAAAATGAGAATGAAATACTGGTATCGTATGACTGACCACGTTCAATTACACCTGTTACACGAGGCAGTACATTGATAATTGCCAATGATAAAATAAATATATGTTTGATTCAATTTATCATTTTTCAATATGATATCCTTACTTTTATGTTCCAGGGTTCCCATCAACCAAGAAGGGTGTCTGCGTGTCCCCGAAAGGCTATCAGTGTACAGACTTAGAGCAATTTAGTGACTTAGTTTGGTGGTGAGCAACAGTGTTTATCCCATGATACGACTTCTTCCCAGTGGATAACACCCGGGAATATTTTTTACAGTATTGAAAAAAAATGATTCCGCTCACGAAAACGTATTCCAATCCTTCCCAATCCTGCTCACGAAAATGTAATTCACCTCCCGGGAATTTTAGTCAAACAAAACTTCATATTTCGTTCAAGTCGATATCCCGTGCGCGTGCTAAAATGGCTTTCTAATGTGAGAAACTATATTTTCCGAAGATGTAGAATAACGATTTTGAAAATTAAGAAGTTTTGAGCTATAATGAGAGAATGATGAACAAATGGTTTACTAAATGGTTGTACTTGAATATGTTGCAGAAAAACACTTTATAATTACATGTAGGGCTGCGTTTTTGAACTGCCCGCGGGCTTGTGCATTGGATATCATAAAACGAGTATTCCCCTATACATGTAGGTATCACGAAAAATAACAATTAGCCAATGCGTTAAAAATTACATACTCACACGTTTTCAACAAAAGCAGTTCATTCAAGCGCACTAAAACCGCTAATTACACTGTGACAATCTTGTCGGCTGCTCGAGTGTGTCAACCGCGCCGGCTTGTTGCGAGTGCACTACGGGAGTTCAATTGCAATAAACCGTGATGTCTTTCAAAAGAATTATGTGAGTGTAAGTGCGCTTGAATGAGCGTTTTTATTGAAAACACATGAGCATGTAATGAGCAATGCAGTGTTTATTGTTCTTTTTAGTGATACCTGGGAAGAAACCTCATTAAAATATAACACAATTCACTAGTACTGCGGGCATATAAAAGACAGTGCTGGTCAACTGAATAATAAAGCATTAATAATCCTGTCAGTTGTATGGAAATGTAAAAATAATGTTTATCCAGTGTCAGCCTTTTATGGTTAACACAAATTCTCCCTATTACGACTGCCACTGGGGTCGGGTATAAGCATTTAGAATAAGGATCATGTATATCCAAAATTATGGCATATTCTATACTTTCTGTACTTTCGAACTGCTTTTTTTAATGATACTTTTTTCAGTCTTAGACGATTGGACTCTCTAAGGTCTATACATGTCTATACTTTCTATACTGTCTATACTTTTGATTTTGGTGAATTCCCTATGTCTATACTTTCGATACTTTCTATACTTTACATTTTGGTGAAATCCCTATGTCTATACTTTCGATACTTTCTATAATATACATTGTAAAACAATATGTGACGTCATAAGTTTCTTGGTCACTTTCGATTTTGGTGAATTGCCTCAATGTATTGTAAAACAATATGTGATAGAAAGTATAGAAACTATAGACATCTAATTTGTCAAAGACAGTTTTGTGAAAAGCAGATAGAAAGTATAGAAACTGTAGACATCTGAGGCCTAATTCATGAAAGCTCCGCAAGCTTGCGTGTCCGCAATGTATTTGCGGACCTATTACGTGTCCGCAATTTATTGCGTTACGTCGTATTCACAAAGCTATCTAGACAGGTTCCAATTTCAGAATATCTCAAGGGATAGGGTTTTTGAGGCATTTTTTAGAAAAAGCAACAGACCTATTTTTTCTGGATCAGTTTTCATGCTGATAAAGATATTAAAAGATGACAGCTCAACGGGGTGGTCACGACACTGAATTTTAGCGTTTTTACCCCCCTGTGAAATTATTTTAGGGGGTACTATAATATTAGTTCATAACTCAAAGGATATATAAACCATTGTTCTAAGTTCTACAGCATACATTGTTAGTACAGAGATGAATACTACCCTAAAGTTATAGGTTGATATCTTTGTTGGTTTCGGAAAAATACAATTAATTAGAAAAAAATATGCAATTTTTGTCATTTTTTCTTGCTTATTTTATATTTGTAGCTTCAAGCAAAATATGATAACTTAAACAGCTCAAAGTAGTATTCTAACAACATTCCCAAGCTATGTGTGATATTGTAATACATCTATTATAGTGATGTTGCCATAGTAACAAGAATACGACACTATTTGTTTCCTAAGAAATGTGTTTTAAGGGGTTTTGTCATTCTCTTCATATTTTTAATTCTAAATATGTCTACAATGTGGGATGATTAAAATTATGGTAAAGTAATCTTTTCTATTGTTCTCTAAAACAGAAGTTGCTATGGCGACACATAGATCATAGAAAAAATCCTGGGATGATCGCCCTATTTGTCAGGAAATTAAAATGGAAACTGAAAAATGAGTTTCTTCCTACTGAATAGCAATTTGGTAGACCAAGGCTGACACGCACAGGAGAAAACATCTATCAGTTCTATGTCATTTTGTTGTTATTTTTTTATTTATCGTGCTCTGGGACTTATAACACCTAATGCCGAATCCTTTCCAACTGCAAATGAAGCCAAGATTTTAATAATGAACATTCATATATCTCAACAAATATGGCATACGATTTGGACAATGATGATGAAACTCTGAGGGAAAATTAGACGAAACATTAATGTGAGTGGTCCAAAAATAACACTTACATGTTTTGAAAAAGTTATGCTCTCGGGTGAATCAGTGCTCATTTAAGGATAGTCTGAATCAGGTGAATTTTTTAACCTAATTGTACCCCTCCCCCAAAACCCCCAAATTTTGACAATTGTCGAAAAGTTGCAAACAACAATTAAACAAACATCATTAAAATTAAATATGGCTATTTCGCTTCTATGTCATAAAGATATGGTACGATCTCAGGTCAATCAATAAATTTCACAAGTGACACTCTATCTTATGAAGAAAATATTATCGTATTTGAAGACATGTCAAAAATTTGGTGGAAATAATTTTGTCACTCCTGATTTGACCTGGAAAGGTTCAGGTAAGTTATCACAAACAATTTCAGACAGTTATATCTTTGATTATGACTATTTTCTGACCATGAAGTCAGGGTATACAGGGATAATAAAGTCAATCGGACTCGGAGATATTTCACTAGCAATCAACCCATCAATATATTTTTTCAAAGTTGTTGACCTCATTTTCATTAATGTTTAATGCATTACTTTTCTTTATTTTAATGTATCAAATAGCTCTTGAAAAGAAAACTGAATTCCCCTAAGATTAGTGTTGATTGGGCCATTCCCTTTAATATCACTTAGGTCTGATTAATCATTATATTTACTTTTCTTGAAGATAATGAATAGATCTAAAAGATATACCCATGTTCATGGTCAGAAAATATTCATAATTCAAGTTAGAATTGTCTGAAGTTGTTTGCGATAACCTACATGCTCCTTTATAACATTATGTAAATACAGTAGAACCTGTGTAAGTGGAACACTCCATTCTGCCACAAAGCGTTCCACTTAGAAGGTGTTCCACTTACGGAGGTTTTGGGTTCGCAGGGAACATACAAGATCAAATATAGGATTTATATGTATCATTGGAAATATGATTCTCCCTTCATTACAGGGCAGGTATATACCATTAATAATCCATTTATTTTACTCAAAAAGGTATCTGACATTCTTAATCCTCCTCATTCTGCCAAAAGTGTTTTCTGACATTCTTAATCCTCCTAATTGTGCCAGTCTCAGGTACAAGGATTAGGCAATTAAGTTTTAAAGACTTGTTCCTACTGCTAATAATTCAATTGTTTTTAAATGACATTTTTAATCTTACTTATTAAGTTTGAAACAAACAGCAAGGGATATTAATTAGTGGTAGCATCACGTGTCCAGTTCTACAGGAGGTTAATCCAATTTTCTGAATGAAAATCTTATGAAATCCTAATTTGCTGATTATCAAATTAATTGTTGGTTGCATCACATGTTGACCTCTACAGGAGGTTAATCCATTAAAATCCTAATTTGCCAATTATCACAGTATTACCTGTTTTCATACCCAGATATCATTGAGGGAGATTAATTCTGTTTACATATATCAATATTGAAATCTATGGAAATTGACTGTTCCACTTAGCAGGTTAATTTTTCAATATGGGGTGTTCACTGTTCAAGTTTGGAGGTGTTCCACTTACAGAGGTTCAATTAACATTAAGTCAATGGGTTTTTAAAACGGGACTTTGAAAAGGCGTTCCACTTGGGAGGTGTTCCACTTACAGAGGTGTTCCACTTAGCAGGTTCTACTGTACATTACTTGTGCATGATGACCACCATAGTCTAGTTGCTCAAATGAGATCAATTGATGATTATAATGTTTAGACTTTATGTCAATGTCCAGACTGTATGCCAACCTCTCTAGTATGTGATTACACTAGATTTCATTATGATACATGTACTTAATTGAAAACTTACATATAAAATATCTTAAGTCCTATATTCTATTAATAAATGAATTAGAATGTCACCTAACATTTGATGATGGTATGAATTTATTGATTTGGTGTCTATCAATACATGTTTCTAACTTAATGCTGCAAAATGATAAAATTCACCACATTCACTTTCTTCAATTTTCCAGGGGTAGGGCACTATAAAGTCATATTAAAATTACAAAATAGTACTTCATAACTAAAATAAATGTATTACAATACCACACATAGCTTGGAAATGTTTTTAAAATACTACTTTGAGCTGTTAAAGCTCTCATATTGTGCTTGAAGCTACAAATATAAAATTGGCAAGACAAAAATTGCGTATCTTTTTCCTGTTTTTTATATTTTTCTGAGACCAATAAGGGTATCAACCCATAACTTTAAGATAGTATTCATATTTGTACTAGCAATGTATGGTGTACAACTCAGAACAATAGCTCACATATCCTTTGAGTTATGAACTAGTTTCATAGTACCCCCTAGAATATTTTCCTAGGGGGGTAAAAATGCCCAAATTTAGTGTCGTGACCACCCCGTTGAGCTGTCATCTTTTAATATCTTTATCAGCATGAAAAACTGATCTAGTAAAAATAGGTCTGTTGCTTTTTCTAAAAAATGCCTCAAAAACTTGAATTATTTGAATTGGAACCTGTCTAATCCGCAAGACAGTTATGGGGAAAAGCAGATCGAAAGTATAGAAAGTATAGAAACTATAGACATCTGATTTGTCGAAGACAGTTATGGGGAAAAGAAGATAGAAAGTATAGAAACTATAGACATCTGATTTGTCGAAGACAGTTATGGGGAAAAGCAGATCGAAAGTATAGAAAGTATAGACATTTGATATGTCGAAGACAGTTCTGGGAAATAGCAGATAGAAAGTATAGAAAGTATAGAAACTATAGACATCTGATTTGTAGAAGACGGTTATAGGAAAAAACAGATCGAAAGTATAGAAAGTATAGAAACTATAGACATCTGATTTGTAGAAGACAGTTATGGGGAAAAGCAGATCGAAAGTATAGAAAGTATAGAAACTATAGACATCTGCTTTGTCAAAGGCGGTTAGTATGAAAGGGCATTTCGAAAGTATAGAAACTATAGACATCTGATTTGTCAAAGGCAGTTGGTATGAAAAAGCAGTTCTAAAGTATAGAAAGTATAGAAACGTCGAAGGCAGATAGTATGAAAAAGGAGATCGAAAGTATAGAAAGTATAGACAATGTATAGAAAGTATAGACATTGCCATAATTCTGGATATACCTCGGATCCGGACGTGTTATCATCTACAGATCGATCCACAATTTGACCTATGTATCCCTTACCCTCATAACACCTTCACTGAACTGTGACTAGCCTATTGAAAGTGAGGCAAGACTAATGTTTGGGTCACATATGCTCCGATCCATCGGCCGGCGCCCGGCCGATTGAGTGTTTTGTTCAATATTGTATTCAATTTTTTGGTGAAAATCGGAGCAAATGTGACCAAGGCATAAATAGGACTGAGAGATTGAGTTTTCAGACTTATCGATGCTCGAAGATTATTAGAGAGATTTCGCAATTGTAATCGCAATTTTAATGTAATTTCTATATACTAAATAGGTATGACTGGTCTTTAAAGCCTGCTTATAAGAAACGTGGTGATTGCACAAACGTACCAATACAGGAGAGGGTCGCCATGAAGAAGGCGATGGCGTGGCCGAATCTCAATATTCCCAATGGTACAAAATATCTATTGGGCTTCAATGAACCGAACGTTATAGATCAGGTACACCTTCTTGCTTACACCCCAGTCACATTTGTCGTACGGAGGCCGTGCGTCGACCGCAGATCAATTAAATCAGTGTATTTCTGCGGCGAGCGTAGGAAAACTACGCTCGCCTTGCGGCCTCCGTACGGCGTATCCAGTTTTTTACAGGCCGCAGGGTCGCCGTAGAAATTATAACTCGGAGGTCCCCGTAGAAATCAACTGGCTCAACAAGATTGAATCATTATTTTTCAATGTTTCACGATCACTTTTCATTTGATATTACATCCTAGCACTATGAATAACATTTATAAATTGTCCCGATGTAAATAAAATGAAAAAAGTATTATTTATCAACAGAAATTTAAAATTCACCGTGCGGCTGTCGTGGGACTGCAAAAGTATGAGAGCGCAGAAATTCCACGGCGAGTAGAAATGTTACTGGCCGCAGAAATGATAGACCGCAAGGTCGCCGTAGGAAATGTGACAAATAATGATTCAATCTTGTTGAGACAGTTGATTTCTAGGGCGACCTCAGAAATGAACAAAAATTATAACTCCGAGTTATAATTTCTACGCCTTCCCTGCGGCCTGTAAAAATCTGCATACGCCGTACGGAGGCCGCAAGGCGAGCGTAGTTTTTCTACGCTCGCCGCAGAAATTCACCGATTTAATTGATCTGCGGTCGACTTGCGGCCGACGTGCGACAAATGTGACTGGGGTGTTACATGACCGTGTCAAATTAGATATTCATTAACTGCTAAACTAACTTCATTCGACAAAAATAAAGATTATTCAAAGAAATTGTTCTGATATTTGGGGAAATTATGTTGAGCAGCCACTTTGATTCTAGAAATAAAAAGATGAAAGTGCTTCTAACAAATGTGGCATCATATTCTTTATGTAATATTACCATGTTTGAAGGGTTTAATTAGTCCCACTTGTCGAAACCTGCGGCACGATTAAATTAACGCATCAAAGGCAAAATGATCATGGAGGTTAGTCGGGGCCATAAGACATGTCAGATAAGAAACGAGGCCCAGGCTAGGTCTAATGTTGTTAGACTACATTCGTAATAGTTTTTCCCGAGAAACATGACACAACAAGAAGCATAAAACTGGCTTCATGATAATTTTTCAGGCAAACATGACACCCCAGGAGGCCGCCAACTATTGGCCACAAATTGAGGCTGCTGCCACATCAGCGAATGTAGACGGACTTGTAAGTCCATCAGCGACCTATTGTGGAGGCGGTTCCGCTAAATGTATCACGCAATCTGCATTTGAATGGTTTGACGAATTTTTCGCAATTTGCTCCAATTGTCGCGTTGATTACGTAGCAACCCATCATTATACATGTGATCCAGTTAAAACCATGGATTACTTGGCTGCCGTCTACGCCGCATATGGCAGAAGCACTCGTTGCCATAAGTTGCGCCCTCAAAACCCGGGTTTGCCGTCATCCAAACCCGCCTTTGCAATAAAACGAACGGTACATTATTTGACTCGTTCGTGTTATTTTCGATGATTTTAAAATCAGAATTTTCATTGCTTTTATTAGAAGGGTTCCTAGTAATTAACTCTTAACTATGGATATGTTGACTAACTGCAACGGACTTTTAACGAGATGTTTTGCGCATAGGGTTATAAAGCTATGGCGGATCCGGGGGGGGGCCCTTGGGACCCGGCCCCCCCCCCCCCTAAGGTTGGCCCAGAAAAAAAAGTTGGGCCCAAAAAAAATTCAGGCCATTATTGGGCCTTCTAAGGCCTTATTTTTTTAATTTTAGGCCAAATTTTGAAGAAAATGGGCCTCAAATTTTCAAAATTTGGGCCCACTTTTCAGTTTTAGGGGCCCAAAATTTTCTTCCGTGCAAGCGCGGATGCTCTTTCTCTGACCTCAAATTTGGGCCCCCCCTTGTTGGTTCCTGGATCCGCCACTGTAAAGTGCCCAGTATGATGAACAAGCTCACTGGCGGATCTGGGGGGACAGCCCCCCTTCCAAAAAGCCCCAAATTCACAGGCAATGGAACATAGAAATAATCCCACCCCACTCTCTATATATAAGTAAATAAATATTTATTTACTTATATACAGAGAGTGGGGGGGGATTATTTCTATGTTCCATTGCCTGTGCCCAAATTATTGGGCCTTTTTGGGCATTACTGGACCTTTTTTACCTGAACTGTTTTGTCAGCCTTGGAAGTTGCACCCCCACCCCTGCAGTGGCCGATCCAGAAATTAACAAGGGGGGGGGGCAAATTTTGAATATGTAAAAAAATTTCTTAGCTTGCGCCCTTAAAACCCAAAATTTGGTCCAATTTTGAAAAAAAAGTTAAGGCCCATTTTTGATAAATTGGCCAAAAAATGCCAAATTATGCCCAAAAAAACATTTTTAAGGCCTTCCAAAAAGATTTCCAATAAGAAAAAAATTCTGGGCCCACCAAAGGGGGTCAGGTCCTAGTGTTCTTTGAGAGCAATTAGTAAATACATTGACGGGTTTGTGAAATGGATTAATTCTAGCACAATCAAGTATATCTGTTGACACAATCAAGCACAATTGTCACAATCAATCTCTATCTAAAATTACTATATCATGTCATGTCATATCATGATCAAATCCCTTCAAGAGATCTTTTTATTGGGTCTAGTAATGCAAATGAGGAGTTGTACATTTAAAATTGAATCATGTTTAATCATGTTAATGGGAATGAATTGAAGAGATGAAGAGAACATTAACAAGTAAATACAATATCAAGTCATTTGGGAGTTGAACCCAAACCAAAGAATATTACTTCCTTGGTGAAGCCCACACAACTTTGAACAATATTGTATAAACACATTTATGTTCATTTTTGACAAAACTTGCCCTCTGCTTTTACAAGGACTTGGGACCTTCTAGTAGGCTAGGTAGCATTACAAGTTTGTTGGTCTTCACTGTTCACTAAACTTGGACACTCGATCGCTTAGCGGTGGATTTTGTACTCCTGGGTATGCAGGCCTGTCAACTTGGGAACACCTAACATGAGTGACTTGGAAATGTTGAACACCTCCCCTCAAAATGTTGACACCTTGGTCCAAATCTGAACACCTTGGGGGGGGGGGGGGGGGTAGGTACGAAAAGTTTCGAACGGAACGTGTGACATATACGTAGTTCGCGTGAAAAGTCCGAACGAAATGCGTACGTTTTTTTTCCGGCGTTCGTATTTTTGCTGTGTACACGATCTTTTTTAGAAATGTTTCTACAGAAATATTTTTGCTTGACAATTACCAGGTAAAATGCGTATTTGCGTGACATTTTCTGTCACGCAAAAATAACTGGCGTGACTTCAAATTCTTCAGCAAATGCGTGACAAATACGCCTGGGTATGCGACTTCAGGAACAAAGGCCAGATTAACCAGGAAACAGCTAGTCCCTAGTAGGAGCAATCATAACGTACCTTGGAGCGGGATCTGGAGGTGAATGGTTAGAATTTCAGGAAGAATCCTCCTCTTCACTCGTGACACTCCTTCACCAGCTGTGTTCTTGGGTAGATCGAACATGCGGGGATCATCCACGCTGGCTGAGGGCAGTGCTGTCACCTTCTTGTCCTTCGGGAGGGGTTCTGCTGATGAAGCACTTGCACTTGACAGGGGTATCCTATCTTAGGGTGTTTCACCAGTTTCAACTATTTTTTCAAATCAAGATTGAGTTTTGCCCAGTTGGTCTCTTGATAAAGGAAAACAAGCACAAAAAATTCAGTCAAATCCATTGGGGTTTAGACCTCCCCCTACCGCATATTGTAACACTCATTTACTACCATGTTAATAATATTGTCTGAAAATTGCAGAAAGTGCCATTTTCATCATGTTTGAGACCCATTTTATACCAAAGGCACTAGAATGATTTGCATGAAATTAATTTAGAATGTTGTTCAATATGTGCCATGGTAAAACATAGGAGATGGTACTCTGCCTCATTTCTGAGAAAATGATTGTTAAGCATTGATTCATAAAAATGTGCTATACATCAAGGTTGCCAACTTGCGTCAGTATTTCAGCAAGATTTAGGCATTGATAGAATGAATTCTAGAGGACCTATATGATCCTCAAAATTACAGATGCAACAGATCAGGCTATCGGGTTTTACCTCCTAACAGCTCAGGAGCAGTCTCTTCCATTTTCAGGGGAGCATAATTCGACAAGAAAAACAGCAACTCCACGGAGTAGCAAATCCCACCGAACAAAACACATTTTGATAATTAGTGGCCATCTTGAACAGAGTATATCAGGTTCTAAATTTTAAACTACTGTTGAGTAGATATGACCCACACTGTATTTCAAGCTATGGCAGGTGGTGGGAGGTCAACAGTAATTTCAACCTTGTTTACATACCTGTGTCCTTCCTGAGTGGGGTGAACTATTTCTGGAGCTATTTCTACATCAAACACATTAAGCCTAAACTAGCCAACTGCACTTTGCAGCAGAGTGTCTTAGTGGAAGGATGGCTTGATGAGGTTGCTGCATGGACCCTGTGCTCATTCCACCTTGCTAAACCTTCCGGAAATGCAAGGCACTGGCCCTGGTTCCTTAAAGTAAAGTTCAATCATTTTTAAACATTTTAATAATAATATACATAACCAGAACAACGGCAAAGCCAAAGCGTAGCGAATCCCATCAAACAGAAATGGCTTGCATTTTTACAAACGAAGCGCAAATATCATAAAACAACACACCAGAAAGGCCATCATTTTCAAAATGGTTGCTCACAAGCCAAGTTGTCATCAGAAGAAATAATATGCTTTTAAGTAGCCACCTCTAAAATTTTTGAAAAATCGCACACGTACTTGTAAAACAACACACATAAAAATGGTGGCCATTTTTCAAAATGGCCGACTACTCCCTAAAGTTTTATTAGACAATGTGCCATGCTTAAAGTATTCACATATCAAATATGAACAAAATCGCTCTACTACTTTTCGAGTTATAGTAAAATACGTTAAAATGGCGGCCATTTTTCAAAATTGTTTTCAAAATGGCTGCCTTCTACCAAAAGTGTCATAAGACAGTGTGCCATGCTTATAGTATTCACATACCAAATATGAACAAAATCGCTCCACTACTTTTCGAGTTATAGTAAAATACGTTAAAATGGCGGCCATTTTTCAAAATGGCCACCTTCTACCAAAAGTGTCTTTAGACAGTGTGCAATGCTTATAGTATTCACATACCAAATATGAACAAAATCGCTCCACTACTTTTTGAGTTACAGCAAAAATCGTAAAATGATGAGTAAAGGCCGCCATTTTTCAAGATGGCTGCCATGTGCTTCTTTAATATCTACATTTGTAGCATTATTAATGTCCTTTATAATTTTTTTACATTTAAAACATATTGCTATTACAGTTTTACATATTGCACCTAAATTACTGTAAAATCGTCACTAAAATGGCCGCCATTTTGAAATGAGCGGCCATTTTGAAAATCGGCTCTCGAGCAGAACTTCTACCGCCATAGGGTATATGTGTACAAAATATGAACAAAATCGGGCCAACGGTATTTGAGTTATTGCCCGGACGGACGGACAGTCGGACGGACGTATGTACGGACGGACGTACGTACGGACGGACGGACGGACGGAAGGAAATAACATGGGGTATCTGGCGCGTGCCACGCGCCTTTTACCCCATAATGGGGTATTAGGCGCGTGGACATGGGGTATCTGGCGCGTGGATGGGGTATTTTGTACTTTTTGTCCGTCCATTTTTCAGAATGGGGTATTTGGATCTCGTGAGGGGTAACAGAGGACGGACGGCTCATTTTCGGATTTTACCGCGTATTCGTTCCATTAGGCAATTAAGTTAGAAAATTAACGAATTTAACGTATTTTTACGAAAAATAGCGCTAGTTTTATTATATCATGCAATTCTCAACTTTTAAAGGTCTTTTATCGTTTAATAATGTAGATATTTCGAAAGCTATCTTATTTTCAATGATACCTAATAGGAGACTGCAGATCGACATTAGCAGGAGGTGGTGTACTTTTGCCAGACAATCGAATTTAAAGATAATTATTATTTTGTTGAATCTAAAATAAGAGATACATGTAAGTCTAACTTGCTCCAACAACTAAAAGCATTCATTAGGTTCATTATTACGGCGTCACAATTATTACTAAAATACATTAACGTCGTGTTAAAAGACGATTCTGTTCTAATTCTGTTCAACTTAATCTGAGAAATAAAATATTTCAGTGAACTAAAAAATGCAAAACACTAGTATATGCTCTGAAATTGCTCAGAATGCATCAAATGATGTTTGATTTTCGAAAATTCCCAAGAGACCCCACTATTTTGCGCTCGTTCGCTGGCTAACTCGACGCGGTTCACTTCACTCATAGCCATTATCAAGCACCCCTCCCCCAACATAA